GTTATGGCTCCATTTTTCTGTGCCACTCTCAGGCCTGAACCCTCAGTGGGATGGCTCCATCTTCATGCACCCCTCCCTTCATGGTCCCTAAAGGAAGTAAGGTTTCAATAGTTATTTAATTTCTCTTCCCCCACCCCCTTTTCAGTATTGGAGATTGAACCTAGGGCCTTTGCATTAAGCTATATACTCAGCCCTTTATTTTATTTTGAGACAAATTCTCCCTAAATCACCATGTTGCCTAGGCTGGGCTCCTGCCTCAGCCTCCCAAAGTTCTGAGATCACAGGTGTGAGCCACTACACTTGGCCCTTTAATATATTCATTCACCTTGGTGGAGAGGAGGAGCCACTGAAGAGGAATCCTAGCCTTCACTGTAATCTATTCATCTGCACTGCTTGCTATGCCCTGGTTGTCCTGTTTTGAAAAGTTATTGTGATAAGGGCAGTAGGATTACCCTGATCGGCCAAGACCAGTTGAATAGCTGGGACCCACCCTTCAGGTTGGAAGTAGGTCTAATCCTACCCAGAGAATATGCATGGGGGAGTGCACACACATGCTGAGTAGAAAATCTCAACTGTCCATTCTGCTTTCCAAGTGCAGAAGACAGTTGTGAAAAGGAGGAATGGGAGTAGGAAGACAGTTGAGAAGTTAGAATATAGTACCTTGTGTAAGACTTAAGTCTCACTTTTACTCCTGGAGCGTGAACAGCCAAGAGGCTTCCACGATGCTGGGCTCAGAAGCTCAGCGAGGCTCCAGGAGCTAGTCACACAGCGAGAGTCACCCAGGAAGGAACACACCAGGCAAATTGGCAAATAGACCTTTATTAGTCTGGCCAGATGGCACTCCCCAAGCCAAGTAGCTCAGAGAGGCGGCCAGCTCAGAAACAGAGGCCATTTTATATTGGGCTGAAGGGGGGTTTACACTTAAAACTTACAGGAAGAGGACAAAAGGCAAAGAGTCAGTTGATCTGAGCTAGTGGTCGTCACGTACTAATGATCAGCAGAGTGATTATCCATTGTTCCATTTACAACCTAGATCATCATAAAGTTCAGAACATTCAGACTACAGGCATGCAAGGAGTGGCGTGACCTGCGTTGGGTCTCTGTGTTCACTACAGTTTCCACCTAATTTCCCAGCTACTCCAAAACAGCCACCTAACAATTCACAATTAATCATTAGTTATCCTATAAGGGATTGGGGGAGCGACAGTCTCTAGGTCATTTGCTGGTCAATATGGAGTCGCTCTGGTTCAGCCAGGCTCCCACACCTTGGATAAGCCCTTTGAATGTTTCCTTTCCCTTTTTTCTGTTATGAAATCCAAATTTACAAATGCTTGTAAAATCCTGGAGTTCTGTGTACTTTGACTAAGGGCAACAATCTTGTGGTCTGCATAAATTGCTACTTCTGCTTAGAGCAAAGCAGGCCTGCTCTAATGTGTCACTGTGGGCACTGGAGCCATGTAGCTGAGCTATGTAGCCATGCAAATAATGCAGTAAATAAAAATTAGGGGTGGTGTGAAAAGATCACCAAAACATAGTGTTGTGTAAAAAAAAAAAAATCTGAAGAACCACTATGTGTAAGACAATGCCATTTCTTTTTCTTTCTTTTTTCTTTTTTTGAGACAGAGTATTGCCATGTATTTCAGGCTGGCCTTGAACTCCTGGCAGTCTTCTGCCTCATCTTCCCAAGTATGCAAACTCCATAGAATTAAGGGATTTATTTATTTTGAGACAGGTTCTTACTATGTAGTTCAGGCTGGCCTTGAACTCAGTACATACTATGTAGCCTTGAACTCATGGTGACCTTCTGGGCTCACCCTCTGGAATGCTGGGATTACTAGGCGTGTGCCACTATGCTGTTGGTGTTTAGAACAGCACCTGGTATATAATAGGTACTCAATATGTTTTGTTGAATGAGTACATATATATAAATGCTGAGGAGAGAGTTTTTAGGATATACATTAAGTAGCAGTAATTCTGTCACGGGACTGGGAGATTCAGGAGGGATGATGGCCAAGGAAAATTTTTATTTGGTTTTGGATAATTTGATACTTTTATAGAGAACATGTTACTACTTGCATTTATTTCAAAAAATGAAAGCAAACCCGGCACAAAATGCCATAGGTGACCAAACCGATGTTCAGAGTTAGTTTGGATTGAAACTATCCAGCAAAATAAGAGGGGATAAAAGTTCTGCATTTATGAGGGAAAAGAGTGATTTAAAATATTTAACCCCCAGCTCAGTGTCAAAAACAGGGTGGTGTCAGCTGGAGACAGGGAAGATATCTAGCTCCGTTCTGACCATGTGATGGGTTCCATCTACATCCAGTCTTCTCTGATCCTATCACACCTTCAGATTCTGTATTCACAAGTTCACAAAGGTGAATGATGTACTTAGGTGGCCAGCTAGGTAAGGAGTACTAAAAAAAAGCAAAAAAAAAAAAAAAAAAAAAAAAAGCTGGGGTAAGCAGCAAAGACAAAAGGCCGGCGTTTAGAGATCAGACATTTTTCCCTCAAAGGGAAGACAGGTATGACTCAGGTTTTCAGAGGCATCAAGAACAGACCTTTTCTGGGCCAGAGATTTAGCTCAGTGGCTCCGCCGCCTGAAGAGACCTTTCTGAGCGGATTTGGAGGCATTCAATGCAAAGGAACACCCCGCAGAGGACTTTCTCCTTGTTATGTCTGGAAGCAGCTTTCTCACGTCAAGTCTGGCTATCATCAAAAAAGCCTTCTATTTACCCGAGAGGTTTACGGTCATGCACTTGTCACTGCTGTGGGCGGGGGGTGGGGAGTTCGGGGGTGTGTGCAAAGAGCGGGGGCAAGAATATGTGTGGAGAGGATTCTGTCTTAGATGGGTACATATTGTGCCTTCTGCGATGGAAGATACTGGAACCGGTCGAACAGACTTTAACGACGTGGCCGGCTAGGAGCAACCTGTGCGCTATGCAGACACGGTAAGAGCTTTCTAAGTGCGACCTCCCCGGACTTCCCCGTGAGCGGTACGCTGCTGGGCGTCTCCAAGGCCACGCCTGTTTCACAAGCCCGTCGTCCTGCCGTACCAGGCGCAGGACAGTCCGCTTATCAAGTCTACTTGTAAACAGGGAACCGAGACTGCACTACCACGAGGGACTAAAGCCACGAACCCCTAAACACCCGGCAGCCCGCCCCACTTCCGCCGGAAGTCAGTCTGGCAGCGGGCGCTGATGACGTCACCAGCCAGCCGGACGTCTCAGGGCTAGTCTAGCAGGGTGTATATCTGTGCGGCTGTTGGCTAGCCCCAATCCTGCGGGTAAGGCAGCTTTCGCGGGGCTTGGGGCCGTCCGTCTCTCTGTCTGAACCTCCTCCTCCCTAGTACTACCTCCACTCTGCCCGGGGTCCTGGAGCTCCCGCCTGCTACACCCGTTGCCTGTTGGGTAACCCTTGCCCGCACTCCCGGGCTCCGGACTCCAGTGGGTTCTCCCGGCCTGCTACAGACCCGGCCTTGCTGTAAGCTAAGCTGTGTCCTCTTGGAGCCTTCTGCATCCCTACGCAGGGACTCCGGCCAGGTCCACTCGTGGGAGTCTTAGAGAGTAGGCTGTGGGCGGCCCGTTGTCTGGTCTCCAGTGTAGGCGTCTCCGGGCAAAAGTGATAGGGATAATTGAGGCTTAGTAGAGAATGCACGCTGAGGTCAGAGGGTCACAAGTTCGAGCTCAACCTGGGCATTTAATGGGCCCCTGTCTCAAAATTTAAATAAATAAATAAGCTGGGGATGCAGTTAAGTGCAGAGGTCCCGGGTCCATTTTCCAGGCCCTCCCATGTACACACACACACACACACACACACACACACACACACTAGAGGAATAAGCAGGGATAAACCCAACACTACTGGCCTATTTCTTCCCAATTAACTGTTTTTCAGAAGTCCTGTAACTCACGCGTTGCTGTTCAGCATCCCCCACTTTCAACCTTTCCACAATGCATTCTGCTGCTGACTCCCAGTCTTGCTAGGTGAGGGCCAAACTGATTTGTCTCTTCAATCACATCTAGCCTCCTGGAGGAACCATGTCTCCCGCTGTTGTTGGTGCCGCCTGTAGTGCCACGCACACACCGCTACCCAAGAGGCACTGCTAGAGTGGAGCTGCTGACTTCTCTGTGGATGTTGGGAATGCCAGAGTTGTGGCTGAAAAAGTATCCAATCAGGAGAAAGATGTAGGCTGGAGACGTTGAATTACTTGGTGAGAATTGCTGCCCTTTGTTTCCTCTTACGTTATGAATAATTTCTGGTTTGATTATCCTGGTTGGAATTTCTGGCCCAGAATTATATCCACTAAGGCCAAAAGTAAACCACTTTGAGTTTATTGACACAAGGTAATGTATGGTCTCTGATTCCCATAGCTGGTCCCTGACAGTTGTGAGCAGTGACTTGGAGGAGTGTGTCAAAGGACAAGGACACCTGATCCTGGGTGCTGAACTGATTGTCTCTAGGAGATGTTTGTTCTGGCCGTGTTGTCATCAGATTTTGGGGGGTACTTCCTGCAACAGCATATATGTGAATATTTAGGGAAGTAAAAGGATTTGTTGCTGGAGGTAAGGAATACAGATACATTTTTCTTCACTTTATCTTGGGACTTATAGGAAGGAGATGCCACCAAAGGTAGACCACAGTGTTCATCTTGAAGGGGAGCACTCAGAAGCATCTGGGAAGCCGCACTAAAAGCCCGTAGCACTCTGTGGTATATGCTTGAGGTACAATAAATTCTGTTTTGGGAGCTGTTTAGGGAGTCTAAGAATATATGCGATGGAATAGATCTTTTGGTAGTAGCTAGTCATATTCTTTCTGTTCCTTGGCAGCCTCAAGGATGGACTTCCTGGTTCTCTTTTTATTATACTTGGCTTTCGGGCTGATCAGTGTTGTTATGATCTGCATCTGCTCAAAAAGTCATCATTTGACTAGACTGGTCCAGGGTGGAACACAGGTAATAATGATCCTTGAATACTACTGCACTAGTTTAAAAGACTCACCAGTTTCCTGACAGGGCAAGATGAGTCCATTTAAATTCATTGGTTCATTTAGTCTTTCATTTATGGCAGTTGTATGTTTTTGTTTTTGTTACTGCTGAGGCTAACCTTGTGGTTCTTTAACTCTGATGTGGTGCCCGTTACTGGGCATGGATGTGAGCAGTGTCTGCCTGAAGGTGCTCAATGGGTGAATTCGGGGAATGGATGAACAGAAAGCCAAACATGGGGCTGCTCATCCTCCTTCAAGGTCAAAAGGGAGCAGAACTGGGAACAAAACTAAGCAATAAAGTGGTTGACTTGGGATGGACCTGAGTCAATGCGTGATCTGGAGATGGAACTTGAACTGGGATTGAACCCAGAAAAGGAAAGAGCAGCTTTCACATCAACATTCCCTTAGTCTCTGCTCATCTCCTTTCTCTGAAAACCCTGACAAGTGCCACCTTTGGGGTCAGGGTAGAAGTAGAAGAGTTGGCATCAAAGGAAGCCATTAGAAGGAAACCCTTCTCTTCATTCTTTCTTATTGGCTTCTCTACCTTTATGCAGAAACAAAACTTCGTATCTCTGATAGTGCTGGCTGTGTTTGGAGCATCTAATTTGAGAGTGAGGTGAATGAGAGATGAAACTGAGCTTTTTTCTTTTCCTTTATTTCAGCTATGTTCCTGTATAATTCCACAGTGCCTTCAGAGAGCCACACAGAGATGGCTTCATTACTTCTTCCACACACGGTATATATAATTTGGAGTTTAAATATGATCCTCTTTCTGTCTTGATTATTGGTTGCTGCTCTGTAGCTCCAGGAAGCTCTTGTGGTTTCCAGCATAGTATTTGTGCTGGGGAAGGATGCTAGAAGGATGGAAAGTTCTCTGTTCAGAACTTCTCCTCACAAATAGTCTGCCCTTTGTCTTTGGGGTTTTGATGTGTCTACTTTTAAATAAAGGTATTTAAAGAGTGGGAAAAGATTGACATGTGTTTCTGTGAAATACATTTTACATGGCTATGTTTCACCTGGTTTCTTACTTAATTCTGAAAAGGAAGTGGTTGCCCTTGTAACATTTGTTAGTTTCATATGATTTCACAGAGCATCCCTGTGAATAAAGCACACACCTCTTTCCTTTCAGCAACCACACCTTCATTGTCCTGCACCTGGTCTTGCAAGGGCTGGTTTATATTGAGTATACCTGGGAAATATTTGGCTACTGTCGAGAGCTGGAGTTCTCAATGTGTTACCTTCTTCTGCCCTATCTATGGCTGATTGTGAACCTCGTTTTCTTCACCTTAACTTGTTTAACCAATCCTGGTAAGTTGAGGCTCTTAGCATACAAACTGGGGACAGCTCAACTGTCTTACTGATAGTATAGGTACAGTACAAGCAGATAGTAGTCCTTTTGAAAAGATTGCAAGCCAGGTGTCATGGTGCATGCTTGTAATCCTAGCACTTGAGAAATTGAGGCAGGAGGATCACCTTGAGTTTTAGGCCAGCCTGGGCTACATAGCAAGTTCAAGGCCAGCCTGAATGCATAGCAAGACCCTGTCTCAAAAAAAAAAAAAAAAAAAAAAAAAAGATTGCAAAACTGTTGTGTTTTCTTTATTTTTTTGTCTTATCTTTTTGATGTCTGGGCTACATAGTGATTTCAAGGCCAGCCTGAACTAATTAGTAAGACCCACGCATGGTAATCATAGCTACATAGGAGGCTGAGGCAAGAGACTGGGAGTTGAATGCCAGCCTGGGAAATTTAGTGAAACTGCCTGAAATTTTTTTAAATCTTTAGAAGGGAAGAGTGGCCTGGGGCTGTAGCTCAGTGGTCGAATACTTGCTTAGCATGGTTGAGGCCCTGGGTTTAATCCTCAGTACTGGAAAAAAATTTTTTGAGACTTGCATTACACTTAGACATGTGGTCAGTTTATAAATGAAAGAGTTTGTATTTTTTAATTCTTGAGTACAGTGAACTAAAAGTCCCTTGTATCATGTTTATTATGTTCAAGTCTTTTTGATCCATAGTAATTTTTAAAAATCTGTTAACCAGTTACTGAGAGTGGTAGTTCTTTCATTTTGATGATGGATTTCAGACTTCACCTTGTAGTTTGTCAGTTTTTGCTTCCTATATTTTGGAGCTACTGTGTATATATGTATATTCTTATAAATGCATTCAAGTTTAGGGTTAGTATTATCTTTTCCTAGTAAATTGAGTCTTTTCACAAGATAGTGAGCCTCTTTCTCACAACTAATGCTCTTTATCACAACTTTGCTCCCAAGTCTCTTTTGTCTGATACTAATTTATTATACTATTTTTCTTTTAGTTGGCATGTGCTTGGGATTTTTTTCTATACTTGTACTTTTAAACTTTTCTGTCCCTAAAGTACCAACTATTCATCAGCTGATGAGTGGATAAATAAAATATGATAAACTCATATAGTGGAATATTATTCAGCCATAAAAAGATTAGTCTGTGGGTGTGGCTCAGTATTAGAACACTTGGCTAGCATGTGGGAGGCCCTGGGTTTCACCCCTTGCATACAAAACAGTAAAACAAAACAAGAATGAAGTACAGATTCATGCTATAACTTAGATGAACCATGAAACATGCTGAGTAAAAGAAACCAGACACAGGGCTGGGCACTGCGCCTGCCTCACAGGCACAAGTTCCTGAGTTCAATCCCCATTACAAAAAAAAAAAAGAAACCAGACACGAAAAGTCGTAAATTATGTGATTCCATTTATGTGAGATGTCCAAAAAAGGCAGATGCATGGAGACAAAATAAATTTTGATTCCAGTGTCTTGGAGGCATTAGATATGTAGAGTGACTGCCAACAGGTTTCCTTTTGGAGCAATAATGACGTTCTAAAATTGATTGTAATGCAGGCTTCACAACTCTGCATTGAATTGCATTTGTAGATTGTTTCTCACTGTAGCAATTGTAAAAATAAATTATGCAGTTTCAGTTGTGTTGTTTTGGGATGGCTTTCATGAACATCCAGTCCACTATATTGCTTAAGCTGACATTTGTCCTTACTTTTTCAGGCACTGTAACAAAAACAAATGAATTATTATTTCTTCAAGTTTATGAATTTGATGATGTGATGTTTCCAAAGAACATGAGGTGCTCTACTTGTGGTTTAAAGAAACCAGCTCGATCCAAGCACTGCAGTAAGTGTGGCTGTCATGGCACTAGCAGCACCCTGCCTAGTGGCAACATGGGCTTTGCTGGGAGGGAGTGTTCATAATTCTCAACGCAGATCCATCTGATCCCCAGCCATGGGGTGACCACTCTTGTTAGAGGCCAGATGGTGGTTTTTTTCACGGGACTGACAGGAAGGTGGTATGTTCTCTATAGCAGCTGACCTTCTGCCCTTCCTTTGCCACGTGGCAGGGTGTGTTCCCCAAGAGATGTTTCTGTGGGCTGCTGGATCTGCTCAGGCTGTTTTCTGGAGAATGACCAAGATTCTACACTAGCACTGTCTAACAAAAATACCGCATACATGGTTTAGAATTTTCTAGTAGCTACATTTTGAAAGAAACATTCAACTTAAATTTAATCATATATTTTATTGAAACCAACATACTTAAAATATCTTTTATTCTCCTCTTGCAGTGCTGGGTATTGAACCCATGGCCTCATGCCTGCTAGGCAAGCACTTGACCATTGAGCTACACAGCCCTTTTCATGTTTGAGACAGGGTCTCATTGAATTGACTACGCTGGGCTCATACTTGCCTCAGCCCTCCTCAACCTCCTGAGTAGCTAGATTACAGTCATGAATCATGATGCCTGGCCCTAAAATATTATTTTTACATGTAATCAATATAAAGGTATTAAAAGATAGTTCATGTTGTCTTTATCCCACTAGGTCTTTGAAATATGGCATGTATTTTATACTTATAGTACATCTCAATTTGGATACTAAATTCTCATTGGAAATACCTGATCCATAAAATTAACATTTGGAAGAGAGTAGACTCATACCCAGGCTACGTCCAGATGTTCTTAAGTTTTCCAATAACTGAATCTAGTACCATGATGTTTTCTTTGATTGTGTACATCTACATTGACATAATGATAACATCTTTATCAGAACTGACTTGACTTTAAAACAAAAGCATCAGTTTGTTTTATCTTTTTTTCTATTTTTGGGGGGACAGGGTTTCACTATATAGTCTAGGCTTGTTGGACCTTAAACTCACTATGTAGCCTAGGTTAGCCTCAAACTCACCACAGTCCTCCTGCCTCAGCCTCCCAAATACTAGGATAAGTAAGTTTACAACTCTTATATTGCCTCTGTATTATTCACATTGATTCAAAAGAGAATTGCATAAATTGAAAAACTGTAAATTTGCCAATACTAACAAAATACTCTTTCAGATTTTTCTTGTAGACATTTCAATGCTCAATACTCAAATGTGGCTGGTGGCTACTGTACTGGGCAGTGCAGTTCTAAAAGCCTGGTGGCAGCACCGCCCTGCCACCTCTCCCCATACTCCAGTGTATAGTTTGCAAAAACCTCAGTAGGTGTGCATGGTGTCACTGTGTCATCAAGGACAAACCCAGTGCATGGCTCCCTCTTGCGCAGGTGTATGTAACCGCTGTGTGCACCGTTTTGACCATCACTGTGTGTGGGTAAACAACTGCATTGGGGCCTGGAACACCAGGTACTTCCTCATCTACCTCCTGACATTGACAGTGTCTGCTGCCACCATGGCCATCCTAAGTGCAGCATTTCTGGTCCGCCTGGTGGTGGTGTCGGATCTGTACCAGGAAATGTACATTGATGACTTTGGACGCTTCCAGGCTATGGACACAGTCTTTCTCATTCAGGTAATTATGCAGTGCACAGTAATTTTCTGAATTCAAGTTGGAAAAGTCATATTTTCTCAGTAAAAAGTGAAGCTATTCCTATTTTTAATTGATATTAAATTCACATACCATAAAATACAACCTTTAAATGTGTACAACTCAGTGGTTTTAGTAGGCATTCACCTTTCACCACTGTCGCATTTCACAATGTTTCAGTCATATTTCAGAATGTTTCAAAAAGAAACATTACATGTTTCCTCTTCCCTTAGGCCCTGGTACCATTAATCTTCCTTTCTGTCTTTATGAATTTGCCTTTTCTGAATATTTCATATAAATGGAACCATATAACGTCTGACTTTTTAGACTGGCTTCTTTCATGTAGAGTAATGGCTTCAAATTTCATGGGCATGGTGATGCACACCTATAATCTTAGCCCCCAGGAGACCAAGGCAAGCCAGCCTGAGTTATATAGTGAGTCCAAGGCCAGTCTGGAGTACGTAGTGAGATCTTGTCTTAAAAAAGACTAAAAAAAAAAAAAAATCAAGTTTCAGTCATAATTGCAGCATGAATATATACTTCATTCTTTCTTTTTTTCAGCACTGAGTATTAAACCTAGGACCTTCACACTGAACTACATCTCTAGACTTTTTTCCTTTTCTTTTTTTTTTGAGCCAGTGCTAAGATGCTACATTGCCCAGCCAGAGTTTCAACTTGCCATCCTCCTGCCTTACCTCTCAATATTTTGATTACAAGGATGTGTCTCCATGTCTGATTTCATGGCTTCACTTAGTTTTAAAGCCAGTATCATCTTCTTTTTTTTTTTTAGTTTTCTTTTTGAGATGGGATCTCACCATGTAGCTCAAATTGGCTTCCAAACTGTGTTGTCCCCCCACCCGCCTCCTAAGTGCTAGAATTATAGTTGTGTGCCACCTTAAGCCAGTACCTCTTTTTTTAAATCTGCTTTGCATTTTTCCCCCCTTCAGCACTGGGAATCAATCTCAGGATCTCACACTTGCTAGGCGGGTGCACTGCCACTGAACTAAATCCTTTAACTCTTTACTTAGAAATGGATTTAAAGCATATTGCAAAGAAGCATACAGGAAGCCCCATGCACTCCCAGCACCACTCCTCCCGTGCCAGTGTCCTGTATAGCCACAGTACCATACCAAGCTTAACAATATATTGTTGGCATAGCCCACAGAGCTGAATTCACTGGTCATACATGAACATGTGCTCATGTATGCTGCTCTGTGCAGTCTTCTCCCAACAGTAGCCTCGTGGAACCACCAGTACCATCAGGTTGCTCAAACATGCTGTCACAGACTTCCTTCTGCTACCACTTAGTAGCCACACTCACTTCTTCTCTACTTCTAATACCTAGCTACAATTATCCTGTTTTCCTTCTCTGTGATTATGTTATTTCACAAATGTTTCATAAATACTATAGCCTTTTATGATTGGCTTTTTGCACTCAGCATAATTCCCTCGAAACCCGTCCAATTCATGTATATCAGTGGTTCATTCCTTTTTGTTGCTGTACAGGATTCCATGCTTTGGCTGCACCAGTATAACCATCTGCCTTCTGAAGGATATTTGGATAGTGTCCAGTTTGGGGCTATTAGCAAACAAAGTTGCCATGAACATTTGTTTATAAGTTCTTGTGTGGATATGAGTCTTTAGTGTAATTCTTGGGATCATAAAGGTCCATTTTAGGTTTAGAAAAGAACTCCCATACTATTTTCCAGAGTAGATGAGTTATTTTACAGTGGTTTCTTATTAATCCACAGTGTGAGTAGCGCAGAGTTTATTTTATTATTCCTTACGGGTGGATATTTAAGAGCTGTAAACAGGGTTATAAAGGGATTTGTTAAAAGGCAATGCCAGTGAATACCCTTGTCAGTGTATTTTTGTGGTTGGATTGTTTTAAGAGAGACATTGATCCCCCCATGATATTTATTTATTTATTTGTTTATTTATTTATTTATTTAGTAGTACCAGGGATTAAACTCGGGCCCTTGTGTTTGCAAGGCAGGCAGCAGAACCTCTGAGCCACATTCCTGGCCCTCCCTATTTTATTTTGTTACATGAATTCAGGTCTATGTTAATCTCTTGAAAATAGCTAACTGGCATAGTCATGTTTCCTGAGTAGCCTCCCCTGGAGGAACACTTCACTTGTCCCACAGTAAGCTCTCACACACACCAAGAAAATCGTGTGGATATTTGTAAATTCTGATTTACAGTCAGTGTGTCAGATTTGGATGCGGATGGGTGGCTAAGGCAGTGACAAGCTTGTAGATAGGATCAAGGGTGGCACTCTCCACTTCCTAACATGCATCTTCTTTGCTCCCAGTACCTGTTCCTGACCTTCCCAAGGATTGTCTTCTTGCTGGGCTTTGTCGTGGTGCTGAGCTTCCTTCTGGGGGGCTACCTGTGTTTTGCTGTGTACCTGGCTGCTACTAATCAGACCACGAATGAGTGGTACAAAGGGGATTGGGCCTGGTGCCAACACTGCCCTCTGGTGGCCAGGTCCTCATCAGCCGAATACCAAGTCTACCAAAACATTTACTCCCAGGGACTTTGGAACAACCTCCAAGAGATCTTTCTACTTGCAGGCCCATGTTATGAGAGAAAGAAGAAATAAATGGAAAGAGTGTTACTGCTTATCAAATATAGTATACATTTACTTATACATATGGATACTTATTGTCTAGGCATTGTTTGGTGTCGTGTGTTTATAAGTCAGCTGTTTAGGTTTTGTGGTGTATAAACCAGTTTTCAGTGGGAAGGAAGACAGGGTAAGCCAGTGTTTACATTTTTGCCAGTGGCTGTGGCAGATCTATTTGTTTATCCTCTGTTGGAACCCAGCACCACTGAGGTCCTACTGCATGGGGTGGGGGGAGCATCACTTGTCCAAGGTTGTAGGTAACATTGGGACCTTGATCTCACTACTCTGGGCACCTGGACAAGAATGGGTCTTACAGCCATGTCCCCAGATGTGAAGCAGGATCTCAGTGACCCAACACCTTGGGGTTGTGCCTGGCTGCACCCTTTTTATGTCTCTTCGTAGTCTGTCCCTGTCTCCTGGGGGGGGGGTTCATAGCCCCTACCACATCCTCACGAAGGCTTGGCTTTGTGCCAGCCCAGGCACTTTCAGTACTTGTGCCATCTGTCTTGCCCTCCACTGGCCTCTTCTGGCCATACTCTTTTCTGCCTTGTTTTAAAATGCCTGAAGTAAACTGCTAGCTAGTTCAGCGGTGAGATGAATGCTAGAAAAGAGGCTTATATAAAGTGCTGATGGGCTTTAGGAGGGTAGGTGGGTTTTCAGGAGCAGGAAGCGGGTGGACCAGACCTTGAAGGCTACCAAGTTTTCTACAGGCCATTTCAGGCAAGGTGGAGGAATCAGCAGCAGCCAGTAAGGCCTGGCCTCAGGAGAGGCCTGGGGAACAGGAACCCTGTGGGCAGAGTGGGCACTGAGGGGAAGGAGGCCTTTACCAGGTATCATTTGTCCAGAGAAACCTGTGAGTTCGGAAGAGACGCGATTTTTTTTTTTTCCTCAGCGGGGATCTAACTGGTCCTTACTCTTGCGAGGCAGATGCGGCGCCACTGAGCTAACTCTCCAGCCCTAGATGCAATTTTAAAATGAACTGCCTGGGATGGTAGGGAACCGAAGACCGCCTTCCCCTGCCCACGCCCTGTCCTGACTCGTGGAAAGAGCTGTGAAGGCAAAAGGCGGAGGCTTTGAACGCCGCGCAGAGCAGGCCTGTGAGCCTGGGAAAGCCTCCGCAGTGGCTAGTTGGCGGTTTCGGTGTAAATCTCCACTCACTCGGATCCCGGGGCGGAGCCTACCTGCCCAGCACGCCGTCGCCAGGGGGCGCCGTCCCGAGAGCGCGTACCCGCTGCCTGTGATTGGCCCCTGCGGGCCGCCGTCCTCGCTTTGGTGTTCTGCCGC